CAGATCTGTACCTCTGAAACAAATAACGCAACATATGTTAAGAAAAAAGAAAAAGAAGAAGATAGCAGGAGAGGAAGAATGAAGGGGAGTAAGTCAGAGGGGGAGACGAACCAGGAGAGATGATGGACTCTGAAAAACAAACTGAGGTTTCTGAAGGGGAGGAGGGTGGGGGGATGGGTTAGCCTGGTGATGGGTATTGAGGAGGGCACGTTCTGCATGGAGCACTGGGTGTTATGAACAAACAATGAATCATGGAACAGTACACCAAAACAAATTATGTAATATATGGTGATTAACATAACAATAAAAAATTTTAAAAAAAACCAAAACAATGGGTAAAATAAAAAAAAAATTTAATGGCTTAAAACAACAAGGATATATTATCTTAGAGTTCTAGCAGTCAGAAGTCTTAAAATCAGGGTGTTAGCAGGGCTGTATACCTTCTGGAGACTGTAGAGGAGAAATCAGTCTCCTGCCACCCTCAGCTTTTAGAAGCCACTTGCATTTCTCCACTCATGGCCCCTTCTATCTTCAAGTCCACCAGCATAGCATCTTCAGGTTTCAGTCTCCTTCTCTTGCTCATTTCCTTTCTCCCTCCCACACCTCCACCCCAATCTCTATCTCACTCCTATTCTCTGCTGCTCTTAGAACTTTAAGTTACTTTAGGCCCACCTGGATAATCCAGGATAGTACCCACAGGTTAAAAACCTTAATTTAAGTAAATCTGCAAGATCTCTTTGGCCCTGTAAGGTAACATACTCACAGGCTCTGGGAATTGGGACATGGACATATTTGGGAAGCCGTTCAACCTAGTACAGAGTGTGCAAATAATAGTTACTTATGTTGTAAGAGTAAAGGTTATCATAACCCTAATTTGTGTTTGCTGGTCATACTCCCAAAGGTACGAATATAAACAGATGGTTTTCCCTTCTTCAGTCTAAGAATATATTCTCTACTTAGTGGCCATTTTTCAGAGGTATTATATTTCTTAAAGGCTCCTTTAGTTTTGATTGTGTGGATTTAATTTAAGTTCATTGTCTACGGTGTGTCTGGGGCTTTTGAGTTTTTTCAGAAACAACGTATGAGATAAAGAGCAGGTACTCTGGCTCTTGCTGTTGCTGAGTAATAAACCACTCTTTATCTCTGGCCCCAGAGTTTTGTGTCTTCTGCTGGCATCCACAATACCATGTCAGGCTTACTAACTTTCAAGTAGGGTAAAATCTCAGACCCTTCACAGATCTTGACAGTGGCTCTTGCTTATAATTTACCCAAGAAATGCCCGGCCTTTTTTAGTGGCATTCATGTTTCTTTAAATATTCTCAGCCTCATTAAATTCAGATCAACTTCAGTTTCCCTGTTAAGCGTATTCTGTTTATTTTGAACCATCATAACATTTTCCCAATAGTATTTCTGAAAGACCACATAAGTTGCCAGAATTAGGTACTTGGGGTTGCTTAGTGCCTCACATTTATTCAAAAACATATCTATTTTTTGTGTGTGTTGAAAGGTACAGTAAATACTTTAAGCTTCTATAAATCAGCCTCATTTAAAACTAGAAGGTTCTTACAACTAGAAGATTCTGACTGTGTTCATTGGTCATATGACATTGGAACCATGAGGTAGAGTTTAACTTTTGTGTTAGTTTTTACATGAATGCTTTAAATATGGTGGAGATCTTTTGGATTATATCAAAGTGGCAATAAAATAGATTACGATCTAGTGGAAGCACTAATTAGGGTCAGTCTTACCACCAACTAATAATAGGACCTTGGACAAATCACATGATTTAATTGAGTCTTCCTTTCCATTTGATAAGTGAAGAATTGAATAAAGATAATTTAGGTTCCTTTTAGTTGAGCATTTGTTCATTTATTTTTGTTACCTTATTTTTATTTATATAGTTGTTTTAAAAATAAAAATCTCTTTAAATGTGTCCCATAGATTGTGAAATGCAGTGCTGCCTTATTAATTTTCAGAAACCCTGAAATTGCTGTTTATATTTTTCCTTTCCCAAGAGTTATTTGAGTTTTTTTTTTTTTAATTCCTGGTATAAGAGCCTTTTTGTCCTTTGGTTTTCTTTAATTCCTACTTTTTCATTGTGATCAAGGAATGTTGTTTTTAGTATTTTACTTGATGGAACTTACTAATACCTACTTTGACTTAATATGTGATCAATTTTTTAACGTTCATGTGTTTGAGAAGGTATAATTTGTATTACTAGAATATAATGTTCAAAGTAAATCCATGACAGATACACCTTATTAATTATGTTAAGATTTTCTAATGCTTTTCCCCTTACTCTCAACTTTCTTGAACTGAGGGTTGTGTGAAAGTCTTCTATTAGTAGTGTGTTTCTATTTTTCCATATCTTGTAGTTTCTGCTGTGTCTCATTTCATTTTTTTCTTTACTTGAATTATTCTTCATCTGATACATGATCTCAACTCCTGCTCCCTAATTGTTCCTATTTGTCTTGTATATCTTGGTGAATTCCTTTGTGTTTAGCCTTTTTGAATCACTGTGTTTTTTTGTATCTCATATATTTAGCGTAGACTTAGGTTTTGCTTTTTGATACAATCTGGATGTCTTTTTTTTCTAGTATCAATTTCCCCAGTATCTTAATCTTCTACTCCCTGGCTCTCTGTATGTGCAAGCTTGTAATGCAGTGAGTGCTGTGTTGAATTTGGTGTTAGTTTCTCAACTTGGAGATATTTTGAAGTTTATTGTATCCTCTTCCTCCTAATAGCGATGAAGGCATGGTTCATGTAGTCCTTGTTGAATTTATTCTTTTGGAGGGAGTATGTGGATTGGTTGAGATTTAAGCAGCATTATCTTCTGCACGTTTTGTGTTCATATTTGCAATAACATTTAACTGATTTACTCTTCAGAATGATTTTTTTACTTACAGAGTAGAAAAAGATACCTATAGCCAGCCAGCAAAAAAAACTTGGATTTTTTAAATTATAATTTAAATAGTTTTACTGACTTTAAACTGACAGGAAGACCATCTTTCAAATTAGCTCATCAATTCCTAAAGACATTATGCACACACACACACACACACACACAGACTTAAAAGAATCTATTATTTTTATTCTCCTTACATAGATTTTGTTTTACATACACACTTTTTCCTAATTGTATTTGTGTATACAAAATAAAATTGAGTATTTTCAGAAACTGTGCTTTTTGATCTTTCTGACATCAGACCATTATCAGTATTTCTTTTTTTTCCATTCTACTCATTTTCCAAAAGCATAGTACGGTTCTTTAATACAGAATCTGTGGTAATTTTTCAGGAGGTACACAAATCAGTATGTACAAGGATAATTACTCCATTCTTATTTAGAAAAAGATTTAAAAAATCAGAAAACATACTAATGTCCGATAATAAAAGGTTGGCTAAGTAAATAAGGACAGTGATATAAGAGAATGAAAAGAAAATGGATAGATATTTGCCCTGTCATTAAATGATAAAGCTAGTTTACAAAATGCTATGGTCCTGGTTTGTGTGTGTGTGTGTGTGTTTAGGATTTATTTGAGAGGGAGAGAGAGCATGGATGTGGGTGCACGTGTGTGAGTGGGGGGAGGGACGGGAGAAAGAGAGCAGACTCCCCACTGAGTGGGGAGCCCCAGGCAGGGCTCGATCTCATGACCCCAGATCATGGACTGAGCCAAAACCGAGAGTTGGTGCTCAACCAACCGAGCTACCCAGGTGCCCTGGACCTATTTTTGTTTAAAATATTAGGGGCACCTTGGTGACACGTTCGGATAAGCCTCCAACTCTTGGTTTTGGCTCAGGTCGTGATCTCAGTGTTGTTAGATCGAGCCCCATGGTGGGCTCCATGCTCAGTGTGGAGTCTGCTTCAGACTCTCTCTCTCTCTTTTTCTCTCTTTCTGCCTAAAATAAATAAATCTTAAAAATATATATAATTTAAATAATTTTCATGGAATAATTCCTGTACAGTTTTTGCCATATCATACATTTACCTAACTTACTATCACTCAGTGTTGTTTTAAAACCAACTATCTGATTTTATTTAGCTTTCTTCCAAATAGTGTTATGAAAAAAATACACAAATGTTCATTGTATTTTTTCATGCACGGTAGAATAACTTGATAACTGTTAAGAGAAATTTCATTTTTGTATCATCTAAAATCCTCATTCTTTAGTGAAATGTATATCAAACTCAGTTCTCTTAAACATACAGAAGGGTGTATGATAAAATTATAACCATGTAAACATTGTTAGTAATTTTACTTATTTTTTCTCTGCTTTTCTGGTTTTTAATTTTCTAAAGTAAATTTGGATTAATTCCTTGTATAATATAAAAGTATTTTGTAGCTTAGATTTTTTAATGATTAATTAAAATTAAGTATTTCTCTATAAATCTTTACATTTCTCTATGAAATGATGTAATTGCTAATGCCCTGAAATGTCATTAAAATAAGTAGTGATTTCTTTGAAATTTAAAGTCTTAAATTAATATTTTGAGTTATAGTAATCTTATTTCAATTAAAGAACTGTTATTAAGCTGGATATTTAATGGCACATGAAATTTTCTGGCTTCCATGGAATCTGAGTGTAACTGTCTTAAGAGGATTAGCTCTTAAATTCATTGTGCTGTGGTTTTTCATAGTATTATAAGTTCATACTGTGATAGGAGTTATTCTCATCCAAAAATTAAGAACTTATTTAATTTCAGATTTCTTAAAAGACAAACATGGGAAGGAATGTACCTCATAATAACGAATGGTACGTTAAAATTAGATTCATAAACTGGGCGCCTTGGTGGCTCAGTTGGTTAAGCATCCTACTCTTGATTTCGGCTGAGGTCATGATCCTCAGGGTTGTGAGATAGAGCCCCACTTAGGACTCTGCATTGGGCATGAAACCTGCTTAAAATTCTCTCCTACCTCTCACTGCCCCTTCCCCACAAAAATAAAATAAGTAAATAAAATTAGACTCATAACTAAAATTCTTTTTTTTTTTTTTTTACAGGAATTGAAACCTGATATAGTAACTAAATCTGCTCTCGGTGATGATATCAACTTTGAAAAAATCTGCAAAAAGGTATATCTGCAGTGGATTGTCTTTCTTTTAAGAAAAGTTCCTTATTTATATGGTTGACTTTCTTTCTCTTGTCACCTTTGTCCTTGAAGAAAAACCTTATCAACAAGCCAGTTACTATTAGTATATGATGATTTTTCCCCACTTGAGCTCTGTTATTGCCACCAAAAAAATAGTTTTATGGTAATTTATGAATTTTGCTTTGCTTGTGATAGCACACCTTCAAGGTCCTTAAAGGTATGTTGAACTTAATGTGCCATTTATGTATTAGTAACAATTAGTTTGTTAATCTTACTAAACAGAACAAACAATATTTTTATTTTTATTTTTTCCTGGTAACTTTTATGACTATTTTATTTAATCTCCATATTTAGTACTCGTGAAAGATTATTTTTACCCCCTTTTTACAAATGAGGAAACTGTAGGTCAGAAAGAATGAAGTGAACTGAGTAGAGCTGTACCACTGTTATACGGCACAGTTGGGACTTCTACCCAGTTCTCCTGCTCCTACTATTTTCTCTTCTTCATTTCCACCTGATTTGCTAATGTCTACATAAGACAATTCCAACCTGAGAGCAGATTTGGATTAATGGATGTTTCTGTGTTGCTTTTCTGTTCTCACTTTCATTGGCATTTGCTCTAATGTGTATTATTTCTTGTTTCTTGCCTTTATGTCCACTTAGCTCTTTTTCTAGTTTGTTAATGTGGAAGCTTCAGTTACTGATTTTAGAGCTTTCTTATTTTCTAACAAGCATTTAGTTGCCTTATGTAAGCACTCCTTTAGCTGCGCCCTTAAATTTGATGGGTTGTATTCTCATTTTCTTTGCGTTCACAATGTTCTAAATTTCCCTTGAAACTTCATCTTTGACCTATGGTTTAGTTAGAAGTATATTGTTTAATTTCTGAACAGTTAAAGGGTCTTCTGAGTATGTTTTCATTATTGTTTCCTTTATGATCCATGAGCAGACTTTTTATGATTTTTATTTCTGTTATGGTCCAGAATGGCTTATCTTGGTGAATATTTCATATGCACTTGAAAACAGTATGTTTTCTCTTGGGATCAGTGTCTTAAAAATGTCAAGTAGGTCACATTAGTTGTTGGTGTTGTTCAGGTGATTTATATCCTTACTGATTTTCTGCCTACTTGTTTTATTAATTACCCAGAGCCTTATGTCGAATCTCCATCTGTAGATGTCAGTTTGCCTATTCCAGCCCTCAGGAAAGAATGCTTTGATTCTTTGAGACTAGCACTGACTTTTCTACAAGTGATATGAGACATGTTAGATTTTAGAGCATTTTAAGAAAGCCAGAATATGAAAAGTTTTTATTTGTTTGAGGGGAGGGAAAACTTGTTGGTGCCATTGTCCTGATGAGAAAAGCAACACTAAATCCGTGAACAAGACTTGACAACAGTCTCTTTATTTTGTACTAGAATAATTTTACAGTAAATATTCTTATTTCTTGGGATTTTTTTCATAAAGAGAGGAAAAAATATAGTTTTAAACTGTGGTTTGGTCTGTGTCTCAGACAAAATAATGACATGTTAAATAGAATAATGGTAACTGAATAAAAATGTTACAGAAATTTTTTTTGTTGTTTTCTCTTGAAAGTTTAAAAAAAATAATCATTTTTCCAGAATAAGTTTTTTGAGCTTTCTGGTTGCTAAATTCTAAAATTATTCATTGATGTTTAATTTATGGTGATAAAAAGCATCTTCTCTGCCATATTGTTTTCACTTTGGAAGATTAATATTAGTGTATGTGTAATATTTATAAAATCAGTTTTTTACGGTATTCTCTTCCATTTACAACCCTTCCTTCCTTCAGCTTTCCAGTGTGTGAAGTGTCACTTCTCCAAAAAAGGGAGGCAGCAAACATCTATATTTAGCTTATCATTGTTATTTTGTATTAGTAAATTCATTTGCATATGACAAGATTTGTAGTCATGAAACTTTTTAAAATTTATTTATTTTAGAGAAAGAGTTGTCCGTGCGCATGAACAGGGGCCCGAGAGGCAGTGGGGGGCGAGGGGAGAAGAGAGACAAGCAGACTCCCCACTAAGCACAGAGCCCGAAGAGCTAGATCTCACAACCCCAGGATCATGATCTGAGCCAAAACTGAGTTGGACGCTTAGCTGACTGAGCCACCCAGGTGCCCCCATAGTCATGAGATTTTTAATACGAATTCAGATAAAAAGTTTAGGATCTTGGAGCGCCTGAGTAGCTCATCCAGTTAAGCAGCTGCCTTTGGCTCAGGTCATGATTCCAGGGTTCTGAAATCCAGCCCCGCTGAGCCAGGAGCCTCCTTCTCCCGCTGCCTTTCCCACCGCTCCTGCTGTCATTCTCGTGGGCAGACGCTGTCTCTCTTTCTCTCTTTCAAATAAATAAATAAATAAAAATCTTTTAAAAAAAAAACTTTAGGATCTCACTGTCAAGGGTCAAGTGAAACCTGATTACATTTCTGCTCTGTTTATGCCTTCTTCTAAACAAAAGCAAGGAAGGAAGGGAAGGTGGAGAGAGGGAGGAAGGAGGAACAGTTGTTTCATCCAAGTTCTTGATGGAACCCTGGAGGGATTTAAAGCAAAAGGAAACTGCCCTGATTAAGAAATCATTTCAGATTCCTCCCAAGCTATTTGATTTCACCTATTTTGTTAGTGTTGTATTTCATTTATGATATTCTTCCATTGGATTCAGTCTCTTCTGTTTGAAAACCTGTTAATAAATTAAACCTCTAAAAAATGAGGCAGACGGCAGTGTTGTTCTGTAGAACGGATTGATTGTTCTTCAGTGTGTCGTAGGAAGTGAGCTCAGTGGAAGATAACCTCACAGGAACGAAGTCTATTACACAGAGCTCTGTATGTTTGAGGTTATCTGACAATCAGATCAGAGCAGAGCAAAATAATTTATGTAATATCTTACAGCTTGCGCAGTTCTTCCATATACATTCTTATCTCAGTTGATCTTAGAACCGTGATCTCATGTAGAAAGCATTCATTTGCACATATGTGCACACGTGGGGTGTGTGTGTGGTAATAGTAGTGTCTTCATTTTTCAAATGCAGAAAAGGGGTAGAAAGGTTAAGTAGGCAGTTAATATGTATAGGATGAAAGTTTAAAGCTAGAGAGTTGAAGAATGAAAATTTTGACATTTCCAGGCAGCTGGTGCCAGGATTTCAGGAACTTCTCAATTCAAAACATGTGTTGCATGCAAAGCAATCAGCTAGGCAGTGTGGAAGATCTGAAGGGAATAGGAGACTCAGTATTTTCTAGGGGAATATATAGTCTAGTAGGGAGTAAAAGACAGGTATATTAAACAACTACCATATAAGGGGAAGCAAATTAATATTTGTTAACCTGTGTTAACAGTTGCCGACTCATTAGGTGTTTTATATACATTAGCTTTCTCAGGGAAGATGATAACTGGGACAGGCCCAGAAAGGTCAAAAATATACCTATAGTTAATCATTAGCAGATAGCAGGTCCAAGGTCTAAACCCTGGTCTCTGCCTACAAAACAGAAGTTTAGAAGACAAGGCTGGAATGGGTCCCCTATTTGTTTTTTGTTTGTTTTGTTTTGTTTTTTCAAAGATTTTATTCATTTACTTGACAGAGACACGCAGCGAGAGAGGGAACACAAGCAGGGGGAGTGGGAGAGGGAGAAGCAGCAGGCTTCCCGCCTGAGCAGGGAGCCCAATGTGGGGCTCGATCCCAGGACCCTGGGATTATGACCCGAGCTGAAGGCAGACGCTTAAGGACTGAGCCACCCAGGCACCCCTGGGTCCCCTATTTATAAGATGCCATTTTAGAATCATCGTGTCTCAGGGATTATAAGAGCTCAACAGATGCAGAAACGTCTCCCCTTCAGTGTGGACTCTAAGCCTTAGGTTGTCACAGTTCTTCTGATCCAGCTGAATGGACTGTTTCTTATTACCTCCCTACATGTGTTTAATAAATGCACACATTAATATATCTTTAGGTGAAACCTAGAATTGAAATTAAGTCTAAATATTAAGACTGCTGCTACCAGCATTCTGCCTCTACCAGTTCACTCAGAGTCAGTTTGCTGTAGGTAGCTTTTCACAGGAAGAAACATTGCATGTAAGAGAGCTTTTTCATTTTTAGACTGTTGTTTGTATTCACTTGTACATTCTTAAAATTCTTTTCAGAATTGAACACCAAATGCCTGTGTTCATAAAAAATACCCATATGCCAAAATAAAATTTTTCCATAAAAAGATGAGGTGTTTTCCCCCTTTTTACTTAATTTATTTGAAATGGAAGAAACTGGAGGTGTGTGAAGACCACAGTTTCCTGAGAATTTTCCATGGCAAATGTTGTATCAACGTTAAATAAGGAAAGCTGTGGTTCCTTCATACCCTCTAATATTATGAAGACTTTTTTCCTGCAGGTGTAAAAACTGTTCATAATTAGTCTTCTAAGCTTCAGAATCAGTTTATGTAAATTGCAGATATATGACTACTCAGATTTCTTCTGTAAACCTCCATAACATTTTTCATCTTTCCAGTGAAGTTTATCACATTCTGTCTTGGATGAATTAGTTGTTCATTTGTCTTAACTGTTAAAATTAGAGCAAGATTGTGAGCCTCAAAAGATGGTGTTTGTGTCCTTATGTGTGAGACCATGCCTTCCCATTTATTTAGACATGTTTATATAAGTATAAATATCAGTGAATACAAAGAGGGATAAAGTGAGGAAGGAAGATGGACAGTAGTGAAATAAGGAGGAATAAAGAATTTGAAAGGTCTCATGACAGGTTCTGCTCTGCTTATTCTTGTGAGTTCTTACCCTCTGCCCAGAGACTTAAGCAAACCATAGGCACAGCAGACTGCTGCCGAAACCCAAAGCACAGCCAGAGCTTCAGACCTCTGCCCATTTACTTTACAAGCCTCTTTTTTACACTTATATTTAATTTCTCTCCAAAAAGATTTGAGAGGGGGGCTTAGAGATGAGTCACAAAATGAGAGAAGGTTATCTCAAACAATTTAGA